ACGCGAGTGTTCCGCGCGCGCGCGTTCCGGAAAACGCATCCACGCGTCGAGACCGTTCCGAGAGATGATCGCTCGTCCAAAAATCAGCCGAAACGAGTGGAAAACGGCCGAGAAAGGAGCCTTTGAAGTTGGGAATGTCGCTCTCTTTTGCTGCCCTGGAGGTCGCCGACGGTCGCGTTCGGCGTCACGGGCCGCCCCGCCCGCGCCCGGGGCGACCGGCGGCCCTCGGGCGTCGCGCGGTAGCGCGGCCGCGTGCCGCTCGGCGCCGCGCGGAGGCCCGCGCGCGGCGCGCTCGCGCCCGCGGCGAAGGGGTCGACCCACGCGCCGACGCGCGCCGTCGGGTGGAGCACGGGCCGCGCGCGCGGCCGCGCGTGGGCCCCCAGGCCGCTGACGACGACGGGCGTCGACCGGCGCCGCAGGGGGAAGCGCTGCGCGCCCTCGGCGACGAGCGCGGCGTCGCCGGCGCCGCGGCCCCGCGGCCGCGGCGGCCGCCGGCCCGGCGGCGCGCTCGACGGCCGCTTGAGGGCGAGGGCCAGGGGCGGCTCCTGCTCCTGGGCGCGCATGGCGCTCTGGGGCCGCTTCAGGTGCAGGGGCGTTGGCTCCGGGGCCCGCGTCTGGCTCAGCAGCGCCGTGATCATCGTGTCCTGGATGCCGTACTGGGGCGACATGGGCTCCAGGGCCGGGGGCTCCGGCGGGGGCAGCCCCGCGAAGGAGCTCCGCGACCGGCCGAGGAACGAGTCCGCGTCGCCGTGGGCCGACGGCGCCACGGCCCAGGCCTCCATGGTGGATCTATCGTCGAAGGCCAAAACGCCTCGTGCGGAAAGGCGCAAATCGGCGGCCCATCGCGAACGTCGCGATTGCGGTGCACCTTCAGCCCATCGAGGGCGCATAGACGATGGGCGGCGTGGACCGCCAGTGCAAGATCGTGCTCATCGGCGACGGCTCCGTGGGCAAGAGCAGCCTCATCGCGCGCTTCCGCACGGAGGGCTTCGCGCCCCACTACGCCCAGACCATCGGCGTCGACTTCTTCGAGAAGCGGCTCGAGCTCCGGGGCAGCCAGGCCGTCAAGCTCCAGATCTGGGACATCGGCGGCCAGTCCATCCACTCGAAGATGCTGCCCAAGTACCTCTACAAGGCCGCCGTCGTGCTCATCGTCTACGACCTGACGAACTCGGAGAGCCTCCTCAACGTCGACGACTGGCTCGCCGCGCTCCGGAAGGTCTTCGTCGACAAGTACACGGGCGAGAAGCTGCGCATGCCCCACACCTACGTCGTCGGCAACAAGGCCGACCTCCTCCAGCACCGCCAGGTCACGGACAGCGACCACGTCCGGTTCTGGCAGGAGCGGAGGCTCGAGGGCGGCTTCCTCACGTCCGCGCGGTCGGGCGAGAACGTCGCCAAGGCCGTCTACGCGACGGCGGCCCACGCCGTCGGCGTCGACCTGACGGCCTACGAGCTCGCCTTCCACGACCGCGTGTTGAACAAGGTCGACGTCGCGTCCGCGGGCGACGCGGCCGCGGGCGGCCGCACCGCGGACGCGGACCGCATCGAGGAGGAGGACCGGCTCGCGGAGCTCCGCAAGCGCCAGCGCGCGTCGTGTAGCTGCGCGCTAAGTTAGTCGTTGCGCGCGAGGAGCTCCGTGACCTGGTCCCTGTTCATGGAGCGGTCCGTGATGAGGATGACGTGGTAGCCGAACTGCGTCTTCACGGGGCCGACGAGGCTGCCCGCGGGCGGCGGCGGGTCGAAGCACGCGGCGTCGAAGGCGGCGACCATCGCGCCGGGCTTGAACTCGCCGAGGTCGCCGCCCTTGCTCGCGGACGCGCACGTGCTCTCGCGCCGCGCGACGGCCGCGAAGTGGCGCCGCCCTCGAGCTCCGCGAGGACCGCCGCCGCCCGCGCCTCGTCGGGCACGAGCACGTGCCGCGCGCGGCACCGGACGTCGTCGCGCGTGAAGTCCTCGTTCTTGAAGGCCGCGGCGAAGGCGTCGAAGAGGCCCATGGACAGCGGCGCGACGCGCGTTTTCGGGCGTGCGGTGGATGCATGCGTCGTGGCGCTGAAGGCATGCGTCGTGGCAACGACGACAAAAGCTAGCAGCAGCGAGCGCGCCATCGGTTTGGCGCGGCCTGAGACATGCTTGCTTTTGCTTGCTTGCAGGGCAACACCGGCAAGGTGCCATCCCATCGGCCGATGGTCGGGGCAGCCGCGGGGCGTTCTTGCGCATGACGCACTCCCTCCTCCTCTGCGCCGCGGCGCTGCTCTACGCGCCGCCCGTCCGCGCCGACGACCGCACCTGCGAGGCGACGCCGTACGCGGTGCTCGCCGTCGCGGAGCTCGAAGCGCAGTGCGGCGCCGCCGGCGTCGACTGCTGGACGTCCGGCGTCGTGAGCCGCCTCGTCGACGCCGACGCCGACGGCGACCTCGACATCCTCGCGTGCTGAGGCGACATCTGCAAGTTCGCCGTGTCCGACGGCGCGGCGCCGCCGTCGTTCTCGATCCGCGCGCCGTCCGAAGACGAGAACGCGTTCAGCGAGATCACGACGTTGAGCAACGGCGTGACGAGCGCCGTCGCCGCGGACCTCGGCGGCGACGGCGACGTCGAGGTCGTCGTCGCGTCGAGCACCGACGGAAAGATCGCGGATTATTACTACGACGACGGCGAGTTTACCTGGAACAACGCCATCCTCCACCAGGTCGACGACTCCGAACCAACGTCGGTCTTCGCGGGCGACGTCGACGGCGACGGCGACGTCGACGTCATCGCGGCGCTCTACGGCGCCCAGCAGGTCGTGCTCTACGACAACGACTCCACGGGCACGCTGTCGCACGTCGGGCTGATCTTCGACGGCGGCGACGCCACCGCCTGCCCCATGGGCGGTGGCGCGCCCGCCCCGGGCGCGCCCGGCGCCGGCGACGACGACAACGCCTGCGCCGACGCGGGGCCCATCCGCGCGATCCTCGCGGACGTGGGCGACGACGAGGCCCTCGACGTGCTCGTCGCCTTCGCCGACGACCAGTCCATCGGCTACTACTACGCGAACGACGCCGATCAGATCGTCGAGTTCGCGACCATGCAGGCGAGCAATACGTACGACGACCCGGTCTACGTCGTCGCGCTGGACGTCGACGGCGACGGCGCTCTCGACGTCGCGTGCAGCTACCCCGACATCGGGACGATCTACTGGTTCCTGTGGAAAAACGGCGCGTGGACAGACTACGCCGTCGATCAGGACGCCGGAGACCCGACGACGCTCGACGCGGCCGACATCGACGGCGACAACGACGTCGATCTGCTGGCGTCGAACGACGTCGTCGTCGCCTACGGGAACGTGCTCCACGAGGGCGACGACGCGGCCTTTGAAGCGGCCTTTGAAGTCATGTGGGAGGCGAACGCGATCACGGGCGACATCGACGGCGGCGGCGGCACCGAACGGACGGCCAGAGACGTCGCGGGGGGCGACATCGACGGCGACGGCGACGTCGACGCCGTCGCCATCTACAGCAACGGCTACGTCGCGGCCTACGTGCTGGTCTGCGCGGGCGGCAACCCGTCGCCGACGGCCTCGCCGTCCGCGGCGCCGAACGCGGCGATCGCGTGGCGCGACGACACCGGCAACAGCTGCTCGAGCCCCGACATCTCGGCGGTGTGGTGTAGGGACAACGGCGACGAGCTATTCGAACAGACGGACGGCGCCTGGCGGAGCGCCTGCGAGGCCGGCTGCCAAACATGCCTGGGCTACTGCGGCGGCAGCGATCCCGCGCCGTCCGCGGCGCCATCGCCCGCGCCGTCCGCGAAGCCGACGGCGCCGCCGTCCCCAAAGCCGACGGCGCCGCCGTCCGCGGCGCCGTCGCCCGCGCCGTCGCCCGGGCCCTCCGCGGCGCCGTCGCCCGGGCCGTCGTCCGCGCCGTCCGCGGCGCCGTCGCCCGGGCCGTCGCCCGCGCCCTCCGCGCCGCCGGCGCCCGCGCCGTCGCCCGCGCCGTCCTCCGCGGCGCCCTCCGCCGCGCGGTCGACCGCGCCGTCGGTCCTGCCGTCGCCGGCGCCGTCGCCGCTGCCGTCGCGCGCGCCGTCGCCCGTCGCGACCGCCGACGACGACGACGCGCTCGCGCCGGGCGAGCTGCCGCCCCTCGAGGACCTCGCGGACTCTGGGGGCGTGGTCTGGACGCGGGACC